GTAATGACACTTTACACACAGCCAAACTATCCCGACTTCTGCAGAAGTACGGCACGCCACTCACTAAGAAGTTAAAGCTGTGCAGATGGACAGAATGTCATCAGGTTTCATTTTTGTCTATTAAAGGACACATTCATTCTTTCCACCCACATGCAGGTTACAATCTCTTATTTCTGGACTACACCCACAGCCTGAGACTGCTGAGGTCCAGTCCCTCCATCTAAAGCAAGGAGGGGATTTCTCCAGGTAACATCCCCAATTCACTGCTCAACATGGGCGTCACATTACTTCTGCTATCAAGACTGACATCACCAAAATTTTTTGGTACCTATTATGAAACAACAGAAGACCACCCACGCATGACAAACCTGCTCCAATAAGTGGTTGGACCCTTGTGTTAAACACTCAACTCTTGCCCTTGCCTGCATTCCTCCCATAGAGCAATCCTCTTGTTTCAGCCAGGAGGGAGATGGGAACATACGGCAAGAGGCAGGTCTCAGCTTCCCGCTGCCCATCTCTCTAGACCACTGCAATCTCCTCTCTGGCAGACCCTAACCGGGCAGTTGCATTCACTTTGTCTCTCCAGACAAAAGACACAGCTATATCTAACCTTAGGCTTTTCCAGCCCAGGTTAAACCTTTGCAGCTGGACTGCAGCTTTAAAACCTCTCAGAGGAAAAGGTACCTGGTTATACAGGGCCCCTACACCCTTGTGGAAGACCTTTGCAGCCCAAGGAGAAGGCACATGCCTCACAAGCCTGAACAGAATGTCCTAGGACAAAAAGTTTAATCCCTTAATCGCAATTACAGCAAAAACAAAGGATTGATACACAAGAAGTATAGCTGGACTTGCAGCTGGACACCCTCAAGGAACACAATGCCCAATGGATTTCCCTATTTCTTGCTCCTAATAAGAGGCTGTGCCCAAATGTGTGGGGTATTGATACAACTTCAATAAACAGAGGCCACCGAAAGGCATGGCGCTCGTACCTGAACCCTGTATAGCTCAGGGAGAGGTTTCCTCATGCGGATTGGGAGTTGTTAACCTACTCAGAACCAACAGAAGTGAAAGACATTGTCACAAATGAGGAGAAGGGGCCAGGAGAGAGTGTCAGCTTTAGCCATAACCTTCCCTGAGAAACTCAATAGGCTTCATACAGCATCTATCCAAGGGCTTTCATCTTGCAGCAGAACGAGATGTGGGGCACAGAGCGTACTGCACAGATGAGCCTTTCTCAGGTAAGCTGCTCTCCCGGGCAGTGACCAGGCAGCATCCCTCAGAGGCAGGTCCCTTCACCACAGGTTTGGCCGAGGGCCACAGAGGAGGGGCAGCAGGAGGGAAAGAGCCTTTACTGAATGCAGTCGAGGTGACCACTGCCGTGCGGCAAAACCAGACGAGGAAAGCAGCACCAGAGGGGCCATGGATTTGTTCTCTTTGGTGGTTCACAGACAAATCCAGGCTGACAGCAGGGATAATAAACCCCAGTCACACTTTTACTGCACAACAATGAAGATGATGCTCAAAAATAAGCTACAGTTCAATTCCCAGATTCCTTAACCTTAAATTAATGTTTGCTGAGCCAACCTCAGATAGGTACAAGAAATATTCTTCTCACTGAGGAGGTCCAACTCCCTCAGGACATCCTTCCAGGCCACCCCAGAGACCCACATGTCTGCTCTTGTAAAGAGGAAGGACTCACATCCAGGGCACTACATTTCAAATACATGCATCTGAATTATTATTTAAAAAGCTAAGAGGGAAAAGAAAAACAAACCCCAAAATACACCCTTCTGAACAGGCTACCGATATTTGCAGCAATCTGTATACAGTTTTTCTTAATTTCCAGTGTGAAGGAACACTGCCAAAGAGCCATAAAGCAGAACACAAGATGGTTTAGTACAAAACTAGTTTCCCTCACTCCCAGAACTATGATAAAAATCTTAACGGAAAGAGATTATTTAATTTGTCTCTCTCCCACAAAGAGCAGGAAGATCTTTGGGAAGGCTGAAGGATATAATCAAAAGTCATTGCACATATTTCTTATCAGTGTTTGAACAAGATGTATTTATTCTTTTGGCAATGCTTTAATTTGATTTTAGCAAACACTCCAAACTCTGCATCATCGTCTCAGCCAAACTGCATAAGAATCCAGAGTCCCCAAAGGGAATCTCTATCACTCTCACCATTCCCTCCCAACACCCAGCAAACTTGGACAAGACTGGACAAACCTGCAGATATTCTTCCCACCCAATTTTGTGCATGCTCCCTCACAAACGTTTGTGAACACCACCTAAAATTCCAGATGTGGAGATGAAGTAGGAAGACACAATGAGATCCAAAGGGTTCCTGTTCATCAGCATCTCATCATCCCATTATAACCACCCCAGTGCCTCTCTCCTTTTCACATTTCCTACTCCAACACACAGAATTGGATCTCTAGGGTCATCAAGTCCAGTGCTCTGCCAACAAAGAGTTTAATCGTTCTTATAGTCAACCCAGATCAAATGCTGGGTTAGATTAAGCTGGAAAAGTAATTGGGGCAGGTTCCACCTCCAGCCTTTCAGGGCTGTGATTCACTTCAAAACCCTTCTCCCTTCTCTCAGCTTTTCTCAACCAGATTTTTCCCATTTGGGAGGAATTCCTTATGTCACTGTGGCATTCAGCACCAAGCTTGCAGGCATGGGAGCCATAAGGCCGTGGGCGATGGTGCGAGTTGGCCGCCCTGGCCACGCAGCCCACACCGGGGCTTGCGCAAGGGCCGGTTCCCAGGCTGCAGGGTGGAACGCGCCGCAGCACCGGCCGGTGCGGGGGGCAGAGCTCAGCATCTGCAAGCAGGCAGCGAGCATCCTGGGGCAGCTGGGCAAATCACCCCAAGAAACGGGCTTCGGGTGGGAGGGGACTCCCTGCTCACCATTTTAAGATTTGATTTCAAGGAGGGGAAAAAAAAAAATAATTGTTACTTCCTCCCGTCAAATAAGTTCTTTTGTCTGTTTTTAAACCTGAACTATAGTCTATACCAAGTTTTTCATGAGTTGGTATGGCCACCTTCTGCCCAATTCAGCAAAAGCTCTAAAATCTAAACTTCAGCAAGCAACAGTTGCAATAAATTGCTAATTCTATTTCCACACTGAGCTTTTTTCTTTTTTTTCTTTCTTTCTTTTTTTTTTTTCTTTTTTAAGGAAACCATGCCAAAGCCTACATCTTGTTTTCAAGCTTAGGATGGGTGAGGTTCATCATCACCAATATATTTTAATTGAGCATTAACAAGTCTCCCTCTCTTTTGAGACAAATCATTAGAATGACGGCTCTTCCTCAGAAATAAAGCCAAGTCAATGCTAATCAGGTTTTCCTTCCCCAGCGTACAACGCTTCGCTGGATGAACAAAGTCGGTGCACCATGTTCAAATCCAAGAAGGGGAAAGGAGGGTGTGGGGGGTGGAAATCAGAGCTAAAACCATTTAAAAAACCTCCCCTGACAGCAACAGTGATGAGCGGCATTTAAGCGGAGCGAGAACACTCCTGAGCACATTGCTTCTGACAGATGAGCCCAGCAAGTCAACCATAGGGACTCCACAGCCCCACCACTGCTATTCAACGAAAGTCGATCAGATAGCAGCAGACAAATAATGCCAAACAAACACTCTGAGAAGTGCTCTCTCCACATTTAAGAGTTTATAATTAACCTAGAGGAAAAAAAAAAAAAAAAAAAAAAGAAAAAAGTCACCAATTTGGGTCTTCCGCATGGCAGCAGCAGCTAGGATCCACACACACACAGTGTGTTTGTACTCCTCGCAGAAGGGGGGACAGGGAAAGCACACTGGTTTCAGTTTACTCCTGTTCTCCCCAGGTCGCCAACCTGCCATCCCAGACATGCAAGCCCCAAGTGCACTTTTAACAGGCTTTTCCTCGCCAGCTATCGCATCTCCCAGCTGCACTCTTGGCCTTGCAATTTCTATTTTGTTTTCCTTTCCAAGTTTCTGAGCCTGTCTGCTTCAGGTCTCATACCCCATGCCCTCCACTCGAAGCATTTTCACCAGGAATACACACACGCACATACACTTTCACACACACACACAGCAGCTTTTTCTGCATTGCCATTCTAAGTGTCAACACAGCTGCTGTCTCCACTGGAATGTAAACCAATATTGTTGTTAGATCTCCCTCAACCCCAGGTAACTTCCTCACAGATTTGCACAGCATGCAGCAATTCTCTTCACTGCCACCTTACAAAGCATTCACCCTGTTGTCTAAAAGCAATTAAATTAATTTAAAAAAAAAAAAAAAAAAAAAAAAAAAAAGAGCTGCAACTGAAGCTTGCATTCCACTCATGCCCATGCGGTGCAAAATGCTGTATAAAGCAAAATGCATCCATTGTACACACATTCATCCTCATGTGTTTAGACAAACACTGTGTAAAATATCTTGCCGATGCTGCAAGTCATGAGGCAAGGTATTAACAGCGCTAAGTAAAAAGGTTACTGGTGTGGACACTAATGCAACATTTGCAGCAGAGAACCTTTGTTTACATATTATTTTACTTAAAAAGGTAACCTAAGAAGGGGTTTATAATGTATTTTTGGCTACTTCCTACATACCATCCAGTTTTAACAATGAGCAGAAATTTCGGCAATAAAAGACTAGTAAATGAGTAGTAAAGCAGTCAACACAGATACTGTTCAAACTGCTATAGGAACACAAACTGTATGCATTGCCCACAGTAAGCGACTGTTTTGCCTTGCTTCTCCAATGAAAGAGAATTATGTTTAGCTGATCAAGGTTCCCAAAACAAATTCACTGTCCCAAATGTAAAGACTCGAAGTTCACCCTCATTCAGATACTCATCCCAGCAAACTCTGCTTCGTATCGTAAAATGCAAAAGTTTCAAAAAACAAGTGTATATTCCATACCTAACTTCAGGACTACAGTGGTGAAGAAATCGCACTCATTCACTAAAAATAAAAATATATTAAAGATATCATAGCTCAAACCTAAAATCCTTACCTCGCTATACTGGGACTGGGCATTGTTTTCCAGGTACAACATGTTAGCAGTCAAATTGATCAATGCTGCTGTTCTTTCTTCTGGCTCCAGGATTTTGACAAACACCTCCCACCCCCTAGAAGACCCTAAAAATATGTGATGCTACTTGGAAGATAACAGGACTCGGAGTGTGCCTCTCTGCATAATTGAAGTTTCCCTTATATACCTAACTATAGGCAAGGAGGAGGAGGTGGGGCTCTCCTGCCTTACCTGTCCAATCTGTCAAAGTGCCACCTGGAGTCCTCCACTCCAATGGAGAGAGGCCTCTCCCAGCTCATTAAGTAGTTAGAATTCCTTATCACCAATCTCTAAAAAGCGAAGGGAAGGGGGGGAAATGACCAAAAAAAAAAAAAAAAAAAAAGTGGAGAGAGACAAGAAAGGAAACTATACCCTTCCCCTGTCACTTTTCTACAAGTTTAGAAACTCAAATGGAGCAACTCCATGGCTAAGAAGCTGCTCCAAGAAACTTCTATTTATTGATTTTCCGAGAAGACTCCAGGGATTTTTTTTTTTTTGTAGGCACGGGGTTTGCTGCTACCAAAGCCCAAGACATTTGGGAAGGGATCAAGATGCAACGCTCGAGATCTGAGGTGCAGTAACACAGCCGAGACTGGCTGATGCAGCATGCAGGTTTGGGACAAAACCCACCACGATCTTTCTGAGAAGCAATCACTGTTTCATGCACCGTAATCCAGCTCCATTCTCTGTTATCTGTGTGTTCTCATCCACACTCACAGCAACAGGTTCTGTGTTTGCAGGCATCACTCCAGCTCCATTTTTTTCCCTCCTTTGCAATTGCTTCTAACTCATGCCTTCAAAAAAACAACTCACTTGAAACAGTTAATGTTAAAAAAAAAAAATTAAAAAACAACTCATCCAAAGGGACTCATGATTTTGAATTAATATATGGGAGAAGTTGTTGGGTACTGCTCAGTAAAAAACACCTGGACACTGCACCCACAGCAAACTAAAGATTTTAAAGAGAAAGACAGGAAAAGCACTTAGCCGAAACTCAGTCTGTGGGAGAACAGAACGAGCAGACGGGCAGATCAGAACAGCCCCGCTGTGATTTGACTCTGAACGAGCAGACAAAACCCCGGTCCTGTCGCAGTGTCCTGAGCAGAGATGCCCGGAACGAGGTCCAGGCTGCACCCACAGCAACACCAGCCGCCCTCCCAGAACCGAGCTGGCTCACCCCGAGCCCGGCTGGAGGGAAGGGGTCCCCCCGGCGTCCTGCCGAGCGAGCGGGACGCACGGCGAGAACAAAAGCCAGATCCTTTCTCCTGCTCCCAAAGAGCAGGGTAAGCGCCATCAAGCCAAGGGAAACAAAACACCTTTTTAAAGGGGTGGGGAAGGGGGAAGAGAGGAAACCAAACATCCACATCAGAGCGGGGCCGCCTGCCCTCCCAGCCTAATGACAGCGCTTCAGACTTTTATTTGAGGACCTGTCATCAAGCAGACCAGTGCCTAATTGCCGAGTACCTGCATGCACGGTGGGCGCTGGCAGCCAACGCCAAACCTCCCGCTGAGGGTGGCGAGCGACCAGCCCGCGGGTTCGTGGCCGGGCGAGAGGGGTCCCTGGCAGGGCTGAAACCCACCCGTGGCCTCAACCAGCCGAGCCTCTGCCCAGGAGCTGCTGCTGCTCCCCGCCACACCGGCTCCCTCGCCTTCGGGCATCACTTAACCCCAGCTTCTCTGGGCGCACAGGGAGGGGACGCCAGGTTCACAGGGAGATGAAAGTGAGCAGGCTGTGCTGCTCAGGGTGCTAACGGCTCTCTAGGCATACGGCAGCAGAAAGAGCCACCATGGACTTCCTGCCAATCTTCAAATTAAAGGACACTGCAAGCTTGCACCAGCCTCTCTCCAGGCTAGAGACAGGCAGCACATTCGTAAGACTGCCACTAATAAAATGGGGCAAAACCACCTTCAGGCAGGAACGAACCCAAGAGCAGACACAGAGCAGAGGATGGCAGTGCCCTCCCTACCCTGCAACAGCTCCGTGCCACAAGAAGCAGGGTAGGTGCCTCATTTAGCTCTAACCCCTGCGAGCACAGCTCAGCGGAGGACCGCTGAGCACAAGAGTGAAAGGTTGCAGGCATTTCCCATGCACTTTCCCAATTCCTCCTCACTGAGCATGATGCAAGGAGGTGCTTCCAAGAACGGGCTGCAGAGAGGAGTGCTGAGCCCTCCCCTAACAATGAATAGCCCTACCTACCACCAACAGCAACAACTCAGCTTGGGTTGGGGCCACACGTACCTTCAGTCTTCCCAAACTACCAGCAAGAGCCTGCCGAGCACACAGCAGGTTTCCTACATCACAGGAACATCTCAACAGACCACTGCTGCAGCCTCTTCCCTTCCTCTCCATCTTCCCCAGCACCACTTAATACCAGGGACTACACCTGGTGCGCTTACCTGATCTCACCCAAGATGGGTACAAGCCAAAAAGCCACACAAGCACTAATCTGGAGATACAGGCAAGGTTTGCAGGGAGCAGCCACAGCACCGTTAGCCAAACAGGTCACTTCGCAGCACCACTGCAAAGCTGGCACGGAGCTGGACATCAAGCTAGAAGTCACCTGTGGATTTTCTGTTGTCCAGTAGTGAGGAAAAGTTATGTGGTGCTCAGAGCACCATTTTGACCCCTGAATACTGTCAAGCTTCTGACAGTGGCCCATGAGTTCAAAAGCTATGGAGGGGACAGAAAGAGGAGAAGGTACATATGTAGATATCCCAACCTCAGCAAGTCATTCCAAAAACCTTTTTTACTAGCTGTGCTGTGAAACTGAAAAGATCCTCCTTTTCCAACTCATTAATGCAGCACTGTTGTGTTAGGTATCTGCTATCTTCTGTCCCACAGGTGGCTGGAGGTGGCTGTGGGTGAAGCAACACCCAGATGCACTACACAGAGATACGTGGAAGTTTATCCAAAGAGATCTGCATGTCAAACATGAGGGGTAGTGTATGTAGCATGAATAAATTGACATGTCAGCACAAATCCCTGCCCTCTGTAACACACAGCCCCAACCTGGCTCAGTGTTTCAGAGGCATTAGCCTGTGCGGTCACCTTGAAGTAGATGCTGGACAAAGTGGCTTTTTGCAAACCAGTCATCCACAAGTGACACAAAGGAGGCCACCACCACCCTGACAGGCATGGCAGGAGGTAACAGAGCACGCACCAGACTTTGCACCCACCACCACTGCTGCAGCCCAGGCACAAGTGTCCCCATCTCATTACTCCTGTGCTCCAAATTCTGTTTCACTGACTTCAGACCTAAATGCACCTCCCTCATAAGACGCTTCTCACTGTCCCATGGGCTGGTGTCGTACCTTGACTATTCATACCAGCACCAGTAGCACAAGGGAAGAGGTAAAGGCTTGATTACTTGCCTTTCTACCTTATCATGAGAAAGAAAAGCTCCTGGAGTTTCATTTGATTCTCTCCTTTTGCAGATGCAAAAATTTCATGTAGATGAGAGTCTCCAACAACCTAATAGCAGCAAAGCAGCATCTCTTAGAGTCTCTCAGAGGGAAACTTGACTCCCTGAAATAGTGTATGCTCCTATGGCTGAGTCACAAAACCAAAGGGACACCCCCACCTCGTCAAACTGCACACTCACTTCTCAGCAATGGGACAGTGATAGTTATCATTTATCTGAGCCTTCTGGACCCATCTCCAAGGGAAACAAACACCAATGAGTCCTGTTGCAACAGTGATGGTTGAAGTCACAGCAAAACAATCTTTGTAGATAGAGATTATACCTTATTATACCAATTAGCCTAGTCAGAAAAAGCAAACAGATTCAGGCAGAGGCCTTCCTTTCGTATGTTAAAAAGACTTACTTCATACTGAGGCCAGATGAATGAGGTTTAACTCTATATTTCTAGTCCAGCAAGCTCTCCCCGACCCCAAGCAGGAAAAGAACAAACTAGAATATAAAGTAATCAACCCAAAGCACCAGGAGTCGTACAAAGCCTGGCACTTCACACTTTGGATGCTCAGTTGGATTGAATGTAATAAAAGAAAAAAAAACAAAAAAACAAAAAAAAACAGAAAAGCAGCTCAGCCTCAGGAAAGGAAATCTCTTTAAAGCAAATTACCTCTGATACTGTAGGAAACTAAAAATAATAATTGCTAGTTAGATTTGAAAGTTTCAGCTGCAATCCTCCTGGGTCTGACTCAGATATTCTAGAAAGCTTCTGGCAACACTTTGTGGCTCCTGCTGGTATGTTGAAGAGCAAAATAATACACAAACAAGACCCCTAAGTTTCCAAGTCAAACTGCTGATTCAGGTTCTTTGTTTGAATGCACTTTCCCTGTGCTGTTACATGGTTTGTTCCAGCCTCTCTCACCACTACTTCTCACAATAACCCTTCCTGGATGCAGAGTAAGTGTGCTAAATCATGACGATTAAAAATGTCATTTCCACAATTGTAGTGTTAATTGGAGATGGTGTAATTTCTTGTAGAAGGGGTGTGTGTGCACGCACACGCCTGCCTGCATGTTAAGGCGGTTCATGCAGAATTTCCTGACAATCAAAGAAAAAAAAAATCTGCTCAGACCTCTCCAACTCTTATAAAAATAGCATCTGGATCAACCGCGTCACTATGGACTGTGACATTCACCCAGCTCAGAAATGTTTACAAATTAGGACTGAGATAACAGGAGGAAGAGGGGAAAAAAAAAAAAAAAAAAAAAATAGAACACTGGGTTTGGATTTTTTTTTTTTGTTCGTTACATCTGAATAACTGCTGAATGCTCAAAAAACAAGCCTCTGCCAATTGCCTTTGGGAGTCTTTCCAGGGAAGACTTTACAGGGATAGACATAGTAGACTGCAATATCAGGTAGCCAGGTTAAAGAGCACAAAGAAAATACTTTTAAAAATGTAAAAGTCACCTTCCCTTCTTGCAAACTCATGCAGAGCTGGTCCTCATTGCTCAAACCACAACGAAGAGGAGAAAAAGAACCTACCACATACTGAAACAGGGACTTTCCCTGTTAAAAAAAAAAAAAAAAAAAAAATCTATGGCAAGATAAAACAAATGTAAAAAAAGAAATACCTCTGAAAGGCAGCTTCCTGCCTGCTGGTGACTGGATACAGCCCTGTGTGCACCGGGGCACCCTGTTCCAGAGCACTGCATGGGACATGCGGCTCACCACATGCAGGGTGGGGATTGGGCACCCCCGGCTCTCACAGGGTT